GGGCTGCATAAGTACCGATTCCCCCCTGATGAAATAAGATAAAAAAATCAAAACCCTTATTTATTGTAAGTGTAGAACAACTTTTAAAAAAATGCCTTCCCAGTGACAAAAACAATATAGGGGAGTATTGGTTTGAAGAGGGTAAAGAGATTACCCCTAATACAGTCAATAACAATGCACAATATCTTAAAAGAATTCTAAATGTGAAAATAGTTTCATGGGAGCTCAGTTTTGATAGTCAGACAGTTTTCATTTATGACAGATCCACATATATTTGATTCACCTGTTCAGATCTATCAGACTTAATTTTGTGTCTGTAGCATACATGTACATAATGTAAATTTCGTGCATATAAGGGACCAAGTAGGAAGAGGGCTATGCATTCACATTGTCAGAATAAACTTTATTGATTCAGACTCAGAAGAAAACCCTCCTCGACTCCCACCATCAAAATGGACACTGCGCAGGAACCTGGTGGGCTTTTGGCTATTTGGCCTGTGCAATAACTATCCGTACGTGATTATGTTGAGTGCTGCGATGACCATTCTCCACGACAATGGGCTGCCCTCTGGGGATGTTCAGGTACAGAATGATTTAATTAATAATAATTGAATAGTTAATGGATTGAATACTGATTTAAAAAATGGATTGAATAATTTTCTGTATTGTTTCTGGGGAGTGTTGGCCTATGTAGCTGCCTTTTTCCTATGAAAAGGCATTGTTTTTATTCATTTTTCCATTTTAATAAGATTTGAATTAAAATTAAATTTATGAAAATAGGGCTTTTGTCTGCTTTTTAAGTGTAAAATATTCATTGTAATCAAAGAAATCATTATTCATTCTGTTGACAATTTAACTGCATAGTAAAGTAAAGATTCTCTCTCTCTCCGTATATTTATTCATATTTTATACATATATCCCTATTTAAATTCTGTTTCAGACTAACACAAGTTCCAATAGTTCAAGACACCTGCACTGTAATCCAATAGGGACAGGGGTGAGTAAAGTCAGTATGACACTAAGGGTGCTTTCCCAGAGATTTAGATCGATCTAGAGATTAAGATTTAGATCGACCTAACTCCCAGGGGGTTCACGCTAAATTGCAGTCAGCCGAGCGGGCACCATAGTTAATTACCCCCTTTCAGCTTTTAGTAGGCGGGACAGACGCTTAAGCACGCCAAGCTGACAGTAATCAAGTGAAACTCCCCACAGGGATAGATCGATCTAAAAATCTATGGAAATGGGGTGTATGGTCCAGCTGATATTGGTCATTATTATATAATTATCATAGAATACTGTCTAATATCTGGGAATATGAGGTCTGACAAAAACAATACTGACCCAAGACACGGTCCGTGGTTTTTGATAAATCAGAGTGAAGAAAACGCCATTAGTCTATCAATCAAGTGACTGGCCAATCAGAGTTAAGGAAACATAGCATCAATCACTGCACCTCGTTTTCTGTCGCTTTTCTAAGGTCTGTAATCCATTGACAATACCTTAAGTCAATAATTGTATAACAGGCCTGTAGCCAGGTGGGGGTTTGGGGGGGGGTTTGAATGAACCCTCCTCTTTGCTGGTAAAAGCTCCCCTCTGGATAAAATTTTATCCAGGTACACAAAGGGTTCCTGGTTAAAGGTTTGCTTTTTCAGAAAAAGAACCCCACTTGTGAAATTGCTGGCTACAGGCCTATATAATATTATCAATCTCAGTATTGGTCACCAGTTATAATGTTTCTGTCACATCACTTCCAGGCAGTGCTGCTGGCTGACATTCTCCCAGTGATTATCATCAAAGCCACAGCTCCTTTCTTCATACATAGAGTACAGTACAAGTAAGTGAGGCATGCTTTTAAGATGAGATCGTCTATGTTGTCAGTATTTCATCTTATTTCTTCAAATTGCATGAGGGTTGTTCTGCAAAACATCTGTGTTGTGTCAGAGAGTCCCCCATGATAGAGAATCCGGTTCTCATTAATTTGTACAAGTAAGCCTGGCCCTAGTTTTTGACCCACTCACGTCAGGCTAACCCTAACCTGTATAATTAAATGGAGGGTGGACTCTCTGTAACATGGACCCTCAGTTTTGTCACAGTTCTACAAAATGGTGATTGTCCGAGTCATGTCAGTAATGCACACATTTTATGTCATATTTGCACTATCATTTTACATCACTTTTTAATTACAGATGACTTTTTTCCCATATTAGAGGATAATGATATAAAACAACAAATAAAACGTGACAAGGCAGAATTATGGAAATCTGATCAGGCTACAAATATATGTGTGTGTAATTACAAGTTGTGTTTTCTATATTACTTTCAGTGTCAGAGTGGCATTGGTAATCTTGTTTGGTGCTGCCAGTTTTCTCACAGTTGCATTTTCTCTTGAAGTATGGCTATCTCTTCTGGGTAGGTGCTTGCTGCAGGCCTTACTTGGTTTTGCATTTAGATAATGTTGTGACTGTGTGATCAAATATACATCCTGGACTTAAATGCCTGACTTAAAACTAAAACATTTAAATAAAAATCTATGCTGCTTCATTTCTCTTTACATGTACATAGACACATGAGACATATGCTGAGTAACAGCCACTTTGTACATTGATCTGAAAAAAAAAGAAAAATATGGTCTTCTTTGATCCAGGATAAAGTAGTAGAATTTTCTTAAAAAAAGAAAAAGAAACAAATGTTCAGTATATCAGACCAATATTTAATACTTAATTTTAATGGACTACTGAGGATTTATCCTGAATCAAACAAAACCAAATCTTTTGATTTTAAACTCAACACCCACTGACAGTCTAAAATTCTGTTGTAAATCCATCCTCAGCAGGTGTCATAGGCTACACAATCCTCATTCTATTACCCTAACTCCATTTGTCTACCGCAGGTGTGGTGTTTGCCAGTGTCAGCGGTGGCTTGGGAGAACTGACTTTCCTGCAGCTGACAACTTTCTATGATGTGTAAGTGAACCCTCTTCAGGTCATTTTGCCTGCAGCGCAGCCAAGCAGGTCTTTATTGTTGTAGATATCCTTTTCTTTTTGGCACATTTTTTTAATGGACTTATTTTGAAATATCTCAAGTTAAGTTTTATTGATATTTTTTTTTAACAAATATTTTAATGTATGTGCAGAAACGATTGCCTTTAAAAGTAATTGAAACATACATGTATTACTAAATTAATTCATTTATTTGAGTTATTATTATTATTATTATTATTATTATACAGGCACACAGTGTCAGCGTTTGCCTCAGGGACTGGAGGGGCGGGGTTATTTGGAGCCCTCTCTTATGCAGGACTAAGAACTGCCAAGGTGTCGCCAAGGAATTCTATACTCATTATGCTCGTTATACCCGTTGCCATGGCAGTAGCTTTTTATATCATTTTGGTCAAGCCCCCTCAGCTTCGGGGACATTGTTTTGGTGGTAGAGAGTATAGTCTTCTAGCCCCGGGTCAGGAGAGCAGTAGTTATCAGGAATCTGGGAAGACTGGTGAGTACACTGGGTTCTCACAACTTCTAAAAAATCTGTCATATTTCATTCACCTCTGCAACCAAACCAAGGAGGAGGTTGGGTGTTTGCCTTTGTTGAATTGTTAATTTTCAACTTAAGAGCGCGTCCATGAGAAAGCCAGACAGATCAGTCAGAAGGCGGCAAGGTGGGGGTCAGCAGATTTTAATAATTTTTGGTGTGGTAAATCATCAACATAAAAGATATTGTGAGCCACTGGCTTTCTTATTTTGGATCATTAGTTTTAGAGATATGGGGGCAGATCTTTTATTGGCAATTTTGCCAAAATATAGCATTTTTTAGCTCTTGAAAAGTTATAATTTTAAATATTCTTTTAAAAAATCATGTACATCATAAGGATTTATTTAGGTAAGCCACATGATAGGTTAAGGAAAGATCTTTAATACCCAGTACAGATTTTTTGAAAAGGCACTGTCATGACCACACAAGGTTGATTCTAATAAGGCATGTTTTCCGTATGCTTGACCCCCTCCCCTTCTTTAAATGCACACAACTTCTTTTTTGCAGGTTGTATCCATATAATTTTGGTATGTGCTGATAGAAAAGGGTTGAAAAATAAATTTTGTAAAATAAAATCTGTGTTAAACCTTGTAAAATAAGAACTATAACAATTTTAAAAAGGGCCTAAAAACGAATATTTTTATACTACTTAAATGCTAAACTGTTTCTTCAACTAAATTAATAAGTCAAAACCATGTATAGGTTTGTGAAAAGCCCTTAAAATAATTATGTTTGCCCTGCAGACGACCTTATGAAGCGAAAATACATTTTTTTAAATTTGTTTATGTTGTAGAAACTAAATGTAAAATAACGATGCTAACTCTGTGACCTATTTTCAACATAGCGGGTACTAGGATTATCACCGGAGCAACTGTGGAGCAAAGCACATCGTCTTCACAGTGTTAAAACATAATACTTTATTAAATTTATGAAGAACATGCACTAGAGATGCTTAGATACATCTCAGAAGGATTGGTGTGCACCAGAATATAACAAGAAATGACCATAGCAGCTGGTCGTCCTTAGAATGTGCATTTTTGGTTGAACCACTTCAGACTGTTGTCAGGCTTGGGTTCCTCAATATATCCATCTCATCGATTTACCTCTGGATGTTTGTTGTAAGGTAAGTGATCAGTGATGGCATACATATACTAGAATCAGATACACTAAAAACTCAAACCAGTTTAAATAATAAGTTTGAATATTATTCAGTAATATAAAGAATATAAGCAAATTTAAAAGACATACTGGTATATTTCAATTCACAGAGTTTTACTTGATTTCTGTTTCATGGTAAACATGTATGCTGAAAAGAATTAACTGTGTAGCTAACTTATGAAGTATATTTTTGCATTAAATTCTAGGGCTTTGTTACATGTGTTATCATAAGACAAACAGTTAAAGACTATACTGAGCTTGAAGACAGCTTCATAAGAAATTTCTTACCCAGAATCAAAGGTATGTAACACACATTCAGTTTCAAGTTTTGGCATTTTAGGGGATGTTACTTGTGCCAGTTTTTTATATTTTAGTTTTGTATTCACTATGCAGATTTATGTGTGTTTACAATGAAGTTGAAGTTAACTGCCTGTGCTTCAATTTTCAAGACTTACATATTACACAGGGCACTTGTAACTAAAGGTACTTTAGTAAAATCAGGAAAACTTTGCAGTCCATTATGTTGTTCATGTTGCTTTGCAAGGGGGCGTGCCAGACAATTAAGCTGATTACAACGACTGAGCCCGAGTGTGATACTCCGCTGAGATAGATTGATCCTGCTCGATAGTTTCTATTCTGAACACAGTAAGCCTCTGTTGTTGTAAAGCATTTATTGATGTTATGTTTATTTTTCAGATTTTACATCCTAGGCCTGTATGTGAACCTTGACCTGGACAATCTTACAGACAATAATAGAAAAGTCACCTGAAATTGCACAGGCAAATTCATCAGATTCAGATGTGACCACCAACTTTGTAATGCCTGGAACACTTCCACGGAGAAGAAAAAAGGTTTACCTTTTTTTCATTTGTTTCTTTTTCTATCATGAAATTCTGGTAGCTACAATCATGCATATTTGATTTCCTTTTTTACACTTATGCAATATGTTTGATCAGAATATTATTTAGTAATTGTTCTTATACAGCAATTAACATGAGTTTAAAATATGTTAAATACATTTTCTTTTGACAGCCTGTCCTGCCATCTTCAGGTAGACGCAGTAGTGGATATCCTGGCAAACCTCTATTGGACTTAGAGCCACCTTGGGTCAATCCCCCATAACAAATGTGCATCTTAGGCTTGGTAATCTCAATCAGTTTTGTAGGAAAGGAGGATAATTGGCGCCATTGAATTGACAAATATTGACAATTGACAGTTCAGTCACACTAAACTATAGTGGCATGTTGCTTCAAGTTACCACACTTATTCTAAGATTGCTGAATTATCATTACTGTAGGAGACCCTGGATCTCTCAACCAGAAGAAGAAACTTGGGGACCAATCAGTTATAAGATTAAAATCTGTGGAACACTACCCATCACTGTTGTGTTCAGTATATGGAAAAGATGACCGTGATATTGGAACCTTGGAGATTCATAACTTGATTTCACTCCTGTAAAAAGTAACTGCTTTGTTCTTTTACTGTCCAATTGATAATATGAAAATAAAGTACTCCTCCTGTCATTGTATGTTGCTGACTCTGTTTTAATTTTCTTTATAGAAAAAGAATATAGATATCAAGATATCACATGTATTTACAAAGCCTATGAATCATTTGAAAGGAAAAAATTGGTTGAAAAATGCAATATAAATCATTTCAAGTGGATTAATTAGTGTTGCACTTGAGAAAACTGATAAAATGAGAAAGTCATTCCCTTTTACCTTTAGAAAAATCATTTGTAATTTTTTTTCTCTATTGCTCCCTGAAAATAAGGTATATACACAATGCTGATGATACTGGATATGCACAGTAATAACTTATTAAATGGGGGGGGGGGAATAACTTGTCACTAGTAATTTAAATTTATTCAGAAGTTGTATGGCTCTGTTTGAAAAGAATATTATTTGAGCAATCCTGTGTTACAGATCTCAAAATAAAAAACCTGCAAAAAAGGGGCCTCTTGATTATTTTGAGGAATTAGGGTAACTGTATTTTGGGACAGATTTGATGGCAGCCATTTTGTATTTATAAAAATTGGATAGATTTGCCCTTATCAAAGCATAGTTTGAATTCCTGGCTGTGAGTCTTTGATTAAATTTGATTATTGGAAGGTATTATCTCAAAATGTACTGATATCTTGATTTCGGCCGTTTGGTTTTCTGCTAAAATTGCTAAAGTTTGAGGCACTTTTTCAATATCTTCTGTTGTGTTTAACACACTTTTTGAATTTTGTATGATTAGACCAATATATGCTTAGGATCCCTATAAAATTTTATGGCTGTCAAGCCTGCAAAAAGAGAGATATGAATGCTTGAACATTGCTTGGTAGAAAAGTGAGTTTGGGGGGTGGGGTCATAAAAATGGGCATGGCTCGTTAGTTTGTGGGTTAAACTGAAATTTAGTAACATATTCTCAATGGCAAATGGCTGGTTTAAATAGGTAAATTTTCAATTAATTTTAAAAAGTCATCAGTTTTGACATATTTGCTTATGAAGTGGCTTTATTGACCGAAGCTGAAAATCAAGCCAAAAATGGCCAAAACATAAAATATCATATTATAATTATATCCAATGATTTCTTTTGGGATTGTTGCCTTCAATCTTAATATCTCCTATATATGCAACAATATTATGAATTTGGTTGAAATCTGTTGACCCCCACCTTGCCACCCTCTGACTGGTCCTATCATGGACACACACTTAACTTTAGAATATTCAGGATAGGCCCAATATTGGTTTATTGAGAGTCATTTCTGGTGGTGATCGACTAATTATAGCAAAAGTCTGGCCTCTTTGACTGTTCTTTTGAGCTAAGTAATGCTGCAGAATTTGTAGAAAAATATATCTTTGGTACATTTTCATGCTCAGTTAAGTTTTTTTATTTTTATATAATGTGCACCGAGTGGTTGCTCACAGGACTATTTCGGACAGACAGAAAATAAACACAACTCTTGATACTGTTGTCTCTTTAGGTGCTGCTATTTCAAGGTACACATTCAAGGAAAAGCTTTTTCTTATAAAGGTAAAACTTGCAGAAACTTAATTACATAAGTGTGAACATTTTGGTTAGATGGTAATGAAGAAAGCTACAGTACAGTTTTTAAATCACTTCTTATTGAACTTATCTGAGGAGAGTAATATTTTTTGATCACCTCAAAAAAGAATATTGATATTTATAACTAGAATACGTTAAATAACTTCAGATAACATTTGATTATTCCGTAGATTTTCCCCACAACCAATTAATGGGTGTGGTTATTTGTTTTATGTGTAACATGAAGTGATATTATTTTTCCCAGCCCCTGCTCAAGTATATGGTGCCGCTGACGTTGGTCTATTTTGCTGAATATTTGATCAACCAGGGATTGGTGAGTCTGCGGAATTAAAACAAATAAGGACTTGGGCTTGATGACTAAGCTTAATGTGCCGTAGAATATAAATTTTTGTTGAGATGAAGTTAAATATTCATAGAGAATAAGTTCATCTGAGTATATAACACATTGTTGTGTAAAAGGTTCCTTTTTTCCATCAGAAATAATTGGCAAGGATTTTAAAATACCTTCGCGCATGAAAGATTTCAAGTGAAAGGTTTTAAAAAGATTAAAAAAAAAAAAGAAGAAGAAAAAAGGGGCTTGTAAGCTGCCTGGTAATAATTGGTCAAGAAGTTTAGAATCCTGGCCTGTGTGTTCTATGATTATGATGGACTAGGTGACATTTGAAAGTCATCATTTTAGAAACGTAAATATTGTCATAGGTACAAAATTAACTGCGTACTGAATTTTGCTACATGTATTTGGTCTGACAGGATGATAATAATAGTAGTGTACATTGTTTATTTCAGTATGAATTAGTGAACTTTGAAGACATCTGGCTTACTAATGATGAGCAATACGAGTGGTAAGTGACACATTTTTTCAAAATTCTCCTCACTGTACAGCTGACAGTTTTAGAGAAAGATGATTTGATACCTTTGGGTTGAAAATAAAAACCAAGGATCTGGTTTCACCATTGAGGTTGTGCCCTTTGGTTGAATTAAAGTACAGAAAGCTCCTTTCTCTCCCCATGCACCCTGGTTCAATTTTTTATTTATTTTTTTTTTTTATTATTATTTAATTTTTTTTAAAATTTTTATTTTATTTATTTATTTATTTTATTTTATTTTATTTTATTTTATTTTATTTATTTATTTTTTTTTGAGTGAAAAGGTATAAGTTCATCTTTTTCACAAGTCAGTTATATAGATATTTGGATCATTCAGGTTTGTTCATGAAAAAATTATCAGTTGAAGTTTCATTTTTGATATAAATTCAATGCAGCAGGACCAGTACATCAGAATTCCAGCGTCATTTTCATTTATTTATTTATTTTTTTTTTTTGACCTCTTCCCCAGGTACCAGATGGACTACCAGCTGGGGGTGTTTATTTCCCGGTCTTCAGGCAGTTTTCTTCCCATTAACAGACTCTGGGTACTCCCCATACTACAGGTGACTGGCAAACTTTTGTCATATTTCATATAAGAATTTCTGCTCTTACAGTACCAGATACATTTTTTTTCATTTACATATTTTTCTACCAGGGCGACAGATTGACTTTTCACAGATATTCACAGATATGTCTCTCGATAAATAGACAGTCATTTTGGTCTGTTGTCGCCTCAGCAAAAAATGTCCACAATAATAACTGCAGCCCTGGTAGAGGGTATCAGATACAGGTGATCAAAATTACAAATTATACTAAGCTTCAATTAAGAGACGTGCATGATTGTTATTTGACTGATCTCGTTTCCCGCCTTTTATTTTTATTACCTGTTTCTTTCAGTTCGTAAACCTGGGTGTATTTACCTCAGATGCTATACTTCGTTACATGCCCAGCATCTGGATCGTACTGGTGCTGATTTTCTGGGAGGGACTGTTAGGTGGCGCCGCCTATGTTAATACATTCCGTAAAATCAGAGAAGAGGTGAGCAAAGAGAAGTTATAATAAAAAAATGAGATTTTTGTTCTGTTTATGAATGACTTTTACACCAGCTTTGTCAGTTACTCACAGCATTATAATTGCTGTGTATTTGTGTCATAATTATCTATAATATGGTTCATATTTATGTGTCATAATTATTTATAATATGGTTTATATGTAGGTGTCATAATTATCTATAATATGGTTTATATGTAGGTGTCATTATTATGATATTGTATGATATAACATATATTGTGTAATATTATAATATATTGTAAACTATTGCCTATATTTCAGATCCCTGCAGACCATCGGGAGTTCAGTCTGGGCGTGGCATCCCTGGGGGATGCTCTAGGGATAGCTGTGGCTGGGATGGTCTCTATTCCACTTCATGTTATATTGTGTGATAATGTGTAGGTTAAGGGGTCTGCAGGTGCTTCTTCTGGATTCCACTTCAGCATTTCGTGGGAAAATATCATGAATTTGATTTTACTGCCTTTCACCATACAGTTGCTTTATGAAAGAAAAATGTATATTCCAACTTTGAAATTATATTTAACTGTAACCATCTGTAACCAAATGAATGTTATATTACTTAAAATAACACCTGGAACATTATAGAGTAATACTTAAAGCACTCAAGCACAAAGGTCTGAAATTATCCTCATCTTATGAGAGGTGCATTGACAGCTGTATAATACATATGCAACATAGCACCATTTTTCTTTTACTTTTTATGTGCAGTTTTATATCAAATTGTGTTCAAATTTCACTGTTGAACCTCAAAATGTATAAGAATCTCTCAGTCTCCTCACCAGTTTGAATTTGTGAGAGCAATTTAAGACAATTTTGTCATTTTTCATTAAATCCCGTACATACTTGGTGCTAGGAGAGTAGGGACCATTAATGAAATCAGGTTTTGTACAATAACGTAGCATCATCGTTTATTTAAACTGTAATGGTTACATCACTTTTGGATATATCAGGTGAAGACTACGTATTTTACAGCTAAAATGTCAGTGGTTGTGGTTTCATTTTTATCATGATGCACTCGCTCAACATTTATAAAATGAATAAAACCTTTTATTACAAAATGAAATGTTTTTCTCACTGATAATTTACAAATGTAAATGTTATTGAGCTTTAGCAGCACTGCTAATTTAGCTTAGCAACATCTTTTTATACATAAAGTAGACAATTTATAAAGATTTCATCTTTAAAACAACATGTAAAGAATACAAGCTTTGCATATCTGACATAAAAAAAAGCATTTTGCATTTCCAACGTGCATCTTCCCGCATAACCTGTTTGCTTCTTTCCCTTCTCATTTCAGTTGTTTCAATATGCACAATTTCTGTCCATTTCATGCTTTTTTTCAGTCGAATTTTTCAAATTTATTCTCATATAAAACCTGTTCTTCTTCCTCCTCCTCGCTTTCCTCCTCTTCATCTTCCCTATTGAGGAATACCACCAAGTTACTAGGACATGAGTTAAAATAGAGTAATAATAAGAAAGAAAGTCCAATGAATATGACAAACACTAGTGGATAACCAAGCACGTCCACCATGTATCCCGCCAGAGAGATGAAGATTAGTTTTCCAAGAACCTCCAATGTTGCTAGGAAAGTGAAATGGGTTGCCTGACATTTTTCTGGTGCATGCTGGGAACACTGCATCATCAAGGTGAAGGTCACTGTGGTTACCATGCCGCTGATTAGCATGAGGACACAGAAAGCCCACACTGCTGCATCTGAAGATATGAAAAAAGAAAATCTTGTAGAAATTGCCGAGTTATGCTGAAAACCTTCTGTGCTTTAATAATTTTTATCATCTGCCTTATAAATCCAAACAAAATCAGTACTGGCAAACATTTATTGTATAATTCAATAAAAAAAAAACAAGTAAAGAATATAGAAGTATATGCACATATGTGTTTTTGATTATGGAATGACAAGTAGGAGAACTGAATATCACTTTTGTGGGACATATTAACACCTCATAATTTGTTTGCATATACAAAACTATAAATCTTGTTGCCTGAATAAGAAACTTCAATGTCAGCAATTCCCTGATATCCATACTCACAGTAGGAAAGTGTGGTGCTGAAGATACCGGTATCCCATGATGCCACCACCCACAGCAGAGCCCCTAGTGGCAGCAGACGACACACACTCAGCTGCTTCAAGACAAACACTGCTGGAAGCCTACAGAAAATAATAATACATGTTAAGCCTAGACATTCCCCAAAAGCTAGCAAGCAGATAATACAGACCAGCATGAGAAACAGAAAAGCAACTCTAACACTTAAACTGTAGAAAACAATGAAAGTTATTATCAATTCAACAAAATATTTTTCTCCACTGACTGTCTAATGATGATGAGAACTTAACTGACAAAACAGAAATAAAAATTTCCCATGTCTTAAGTCTGCTTAATTTTGTTAATACCACAGTTTTTTGGTTTTGCACAATTTTAAGGTCTTAAATATTTTTCTATTTATCAAGCAGCTATATTAAAAGAAAGAAAATCTCAACTGATTTGATTGTAAAGAGGTGGTTGAAAATAGGAATTCTTAAGACTGGATATTTTTTAATGTACAAATTTAACATGTATTAAGGACGGCACTCACCCAAACTTGGACAGTACCCAGCCCCCCAACATTGACCCACATATGGAGACGCTCTGGCCCACGATACCTGTCCACAGCCCTATGTCTGGTGCTGCCACCTTGTGGTCCACCAGGAACAGTGGAAGCATGTTGCAGGCACCCTGTTCTCCTGGTAAATATATAAGTATATATATACTGATAATAAGAACCATTTCCTATTACATTTGTGTAACAATCTGACCACAGAACAAAACAGATATTTATAATATTCAACTTTACCTTTATAGTAAAATATTTTCAAATGCCTAATTAGATAATTCACTTTTACTATGTGGAAGACAGAAAATGATTTATTTATCTTGCCAAATCATCAGTGAATTAGTTATGAATTAGTATACGACAAGAAAATTATGCTTATGCTTTCTGTAGAAACTTCTACTGCATTTTTAACTGTAAAGTTGTGACTACAAGATGACAGATTTCACACAGCAGAAGCAGCAGAATCTTCTTACCCCCTCTCTATTCTTTCTAGAAAAAAATACAATTTGAAAAAGTCCTCATAGTCCATGTGGCCAGTGAACTGATAAGTATGAGGCTCATACTGCCCTATATATATATATATATATCCTATATATGAACTGACCAATCAATGCACACATAACAATTTACCAATCACTGCTCACCTAACTTGTACATCAGCACATAGCCAATCACCCACTTTGTTCCTGGAGTGTTGAGTATATTGCACACAAACTGTAGCCCACCATTTGACAATCTTTCTCCCTGGTCAGCTTTGGGTTGTCCAGAGTCATGTGAGTGACCATGCCGGTGATGTGTGTGACCATGGTGTGAGTGACCATGGTGATGAGAGTGACCATGTTCTTCAATATTATGAGATATGGGCTGGTGAGGAAAGTGACCATCATCTTCATCTTCACAATCAGCAAACATTCCCTGTTCCACTGCATCCAGGTGTCTTAACATTGGGGACAGATACATGAAGAGCACCGCCTCCACGTATAAAGCACTTAACGTCAGAAATGTCCCAATCCAGCCGATAATTCCCATAGTCCACGTTAAAACTCCTCCCCCAAAGAGTGACCCAACTTTATACCCTACCACTTGAGCAATGTTTCCCTGACTTAACTCTTCAGGGTGGAGAATCTTAATAGCAAGTCCGTCTACCGCAATATCTTGCACTGACGTAAAAATATTCAACATGAAAAGTACGCTACATAGCAGCAGAATGTGTTCAGGAGTAATGAATGCACCTATTGCACAAGACAGCACCAATCCAAGCATGCTCCCGATGAGCCATTTTCGCTTTGTGCTGTATCTGTCCACAAATGGCGCCCACAGCACTTTGCAAAACCACGGGGCAAATAAAAACTTGTATAACCCAACACTGGTGAGAGAGACCCCTTTACTCCGTAAGTATACTGGAAGAAATCCTGTCTGTATTCCATAAGGCAATCCTTGTACAAAATACAGGAAGAAAAGCACCACTAAGTTCTTTGATATTGACTTCAACATGATGGCAGTGACCCTGAGCTTTTGCCTGGAAATATAACATTAAAATGCTTACTAATATTTTTCAAAAATTAACAAAAGATAAATCATTACAGTAGATTTACAAGATTGAGCTAGTAGTTTTAACATTCACTTGTATGTACAGTAAAGATTTTGGTATTTGGCATCACCTAGGTAATGGTTTCTACTTGGTTGTGGTGTTCACTATATTACATGTAGTAAGTGTATCATATTGCTATGAATATCAGCATGCATCTTCATGCCTTCATATGTATATGGCAGAGATATTGATTTATACCATTCACATGCAAGCAATACAGATTATACTTGGATATCTCTAAAACTAGTTTAAAAACAAAATTTTACATAACATGCCACATTGCCTGTACTTCAGAAACTTTATTGTAAATCTTATGAGGTGAATTCAGGGAAATACAAAACTGATAAACATTGGTCTTAATGAAATTATCTTTTTACACCAGAGGATGAAGCTTAAGTAAAAATGCTCCTACTAATTATTGTCAAATATATCTCAGCACCAGGTGTCTTTTATACCTAAAAAAGCAGTCATTTCAAAATAATCAGTAATACTAGTAGAACTATAGATACCAATCACCTGCAGCATATATCCCATCTTTACAATGTCATGGCTTCTAATTTCCCATATAACTATGAGAATCCTTCTGTAATCTCAATATCTACTGGAGTTACTGCTTAATTATTGATACTATGTGAGAATCCAATGGTAATCATGTTTGTCAGCTGTAAGGTTCTTAACCTTTAGAGCTTTTGGTCACATGGGGCAGCACTTGTGGATAATCAATCAAGATAAGCCCATCCCCAATTTTTGACAGTTCAATCATGCAAAGATAAATACCAACAGACACTAGACTAATTTACTAACTTACATATTTTAGTCTGTAAGCAAGCTTATCGGATATTCACCCTTTTAACACCATGTATCAAAAAATAAATTTAATTCCATTCATTAGGTGACTTTAAGCTATAATTATGATAAGTATTAGAAAGCTTTGGGCCTTTTATTTTTCAATTTTTTTTGATGAAAAAAAATTTTGTACATTTTGCCTTTTACTTTAACTCATTGGACTGCACTTAACTAGATCCAAACAGATCACCACAGTGTTGATTTTTAACATCCACAGCAAATGCTACAAGATAACTAAGTATTGGCTTTTTGCAAAGAAGGCATTTTTGTACAGGTTATATTTTCTTTTGTTCATAATTTTGACAGTTTCATAAAAAGCTTTTTTCCTCTTCTGTCACACAACAAAAAGGATACAGACAATTTTCTACCGTTAACTCACCCATAAATTTCTAAAGAGAGGGTACCTGCTCCTAGCTTAACAAGCATTGCATTTTTCTTGAGATCTGCTCTATTATTCAAAGTGGTTCTCTTTTTCGTGGAGAATTTTGTTTACATATTTACAACACTCCTTCAGCTGGCACAAGTTATTCTTGAGGTGCTAAGGTACCAAAAACAAAAGTGAAATTGGACTTACTTCGATCATATAATCACAGCCTCTTCTTATATACCAAACTAGTGACTGAATTTCCCGTTTTTCCTCCAAACTCGAACACTGGAGTTGGAATGGTGTCAACCAAAGTGAATGCTGGAAAAGAATTATAGTCAAAGTAAGCAAAAACTCTGATCTTCAAGTCAATTTTCTGGCTAAAGCTGTGTAGTGAAACAGGACCTTGGTACCTCTATCAAACAACTTCTTGAGTCAAAGTCGACTAAGATTCTGATCTAAATGTTAAGACCAATATTCTGGCTAGCATTCTTATGTGAAATTGGTGCCTTTATCAGAACTTTCTCTCATGGAACTAGTACCTGTATCGAACAGCTTCATCAACTCCTCCTTGGTCCAGTTACATGAGGTGATAATGAAGAGTCCAGTGTCCTTCAACAGGTGACCCACATTCACTGTGTATTTTTCCCTCTTTCCCTGGGCGTTGTCTGGGCTCAGGCTGATGGCGTCAAATGTACCTTTGTCTATCACTATGTCGTACGTGCTTCTTAAACTGGCACTACTGCTGTTTGGTAGATCATCAAGAATGTCAGCAACCTGTCAATTATAAATCGAATACAAATACAGTTTCAGTCCTAAGGACTTATAAAGTCACAAGTTTTGCCATTAGTTATATAATAGCTCCTTTCAGACCTAGAAGCTGTAAAAGAGAAAAGCTCGCTGTACTTCTGAAAAAGTCTGTGAAGAGTACCCGAGGGCTCTCTTCAAATGCCCCCAGTTAATAATTGTAAAAGTACTTGTCCAATTAAACTAAAAACTTCCTTCTTTTGCTTCTTCTGTGAATATGTGAAACAAATACAGAGGAATGGAATTAAGTTCACACACCTCATATTCAATGGTGGCGTCCTCTGCCTCAGTGACAGACCTGGCCAGCTGAATGGCTGCTTCACAGTAGTCCACCCCCAACAGATTAACAAAACCACGCTTTCTCTGGAAAAAAACAAATTCTTAAACGATTAACACTATCTTCAGGATCTTTTAAGATATTAGGCTTTGTTCACATGGAAAGTCTATTTTCTAAAAATCTATTTTCTATTTGCAGTATCTTATGATCACGGTCTGTGCCCTGAATATCCCGCGGCGTAATTACTGGCAGCGCGGGCCAGTTACTTATAGTAACTTATAGTAACTGGCTCGCGCTGCCAGTAATTACGCCCCGGGATATTTAGGGCACAGACCATGATCACAAGATATACCGCGAATAGAAAATAGATTTTTAGAAAATAGACTTTCCATGTGAACGGAGCCTTAGTGCTCGTTAATAATAACTCTAAGCATTAGCACATACTATATGGAATTTTACTATGAACTTAGAGGTGATACTCAATAGGTAATTACAGTATCTTGTTAAACAGCAGATTTACTGCTGTCTACCTTGATAAAAAGTGGTTTTCTTTTCTTTTTTTTTTTTTCTGAAAACCCACCAGTTCAATCAGCAGTGTGCCATTGCCACACCCCAGATCTAAGATGGAGTTTTCTTTCTGCGTCAGATCACTTTCTTCTATCCACTCCGCTACTCTCTCAATACTGTCATAACCAAACCTGGACAAAAAAGCAGCAAAGTTAACTAGATGTTTATGAGGCCTTTTCAAAGATAAAAAAAAATCACTTCACAGATCCTCGTGTTTTTATAGACAATTTTCAGTACAGGTTTACAGATCTCAGCGTCATCCACTTTCAAACTCAAAAATCTGTATTCTATGTTTGAATATTGGAAAATGAAAAAAAAAAAGAACTTTTTTATCGAAATTAAATGAAGAGAGTCTTGCATGCACTCAAAATTAACATATGACATTAATGGAAAATAAAAAATAGATAAAAGAAAAACATCAGAACAAAATATTAATGACTTTCCATTTACTATAAAGTATGTTACAAAAATCAAAGTTAAAATTTTCATATTTTAACACAACACAAAAATGCAATTTTGTTCCATTTTTAACTTTTATAAAATATCTCACTTTTCCTACCAAACCTCTCCTTCATCCCCGGTTTCTTGAAAACTTTTCAATTCTCTCTCGTAGGCTTCATCCCAACTGGAAATAGAAGAAATCACAAATATGTTGGTCCTAGGTATGATATTACCTGAAGGAAAAGGGTGATTACCAATCATTTATCCAAAAACAGATTCAGATTCTTTATTGACAAACACCTTCACATAAAGGTACAATCAATTACAATACGATACTAGTGGCTAGAACATAGAACAGACAAATAAATAGATAAATAAATATATATATATATACATATAGATTAGCAATTGTTGAAATCAGTGACTGTACACATGTATACGAATGTCGCATTCCATAATCAATTTACCAGGTTTGATCTACACGCCCAGTCTCTGCTGACAGCGCATAACGGGTCTCACACTGG